CGGGTACTTTGGTCTTCTTCCCGAGCTATTCCGCCATGCGCGGGGCGGTGGAGCTCTGGCGGGGTCACCGCGAGGAGCAATTCGGGGCCGCGCGGACGCTCTGGAGCCTCTTGACGGAGCTGAAGCCGGTTTTTGTGGAGCCCACCGCGACCTCCGAGCTCGCCGAGGTCGTCAGCGGGTTTCAGAAGGCCGTGGACGAGGCCCCGCGCAAGGGCGCCATCTTCCTTGCCGTCTGCCGGGGCAAGGTCAGCGAGGGCGTCGATTTCGCGGATCACCACGGTCGGTGTGTGATGGTGACGGGCATCCCTTTTGCCAACACCACCGATCTTTTTATTCGCCTTAAGCGTGGGTATTTAACCCAAATCGCCCCTCGTCGGCCGCTCGTCGATGGTAAACTTTTTACGGGGGATTCGTGGTACCAAAACGAGGCGATGCGCGCCGTAAACCAGTGCATTGGGCGGGTCATTCGGCATAAGGACGACCACGGCGCCGTTGTCCTCGCGGATGAGCGGTTCGCACAGCAGCTGGGGAGTTTATCGGACTGGGTCTCCGCGCGCACGGCGGTCCATGCCGAATTTCGGGACTGCTACGTCGGGGTCTGCCGCTTTTTTGCTCGATTTCAACACACGCTGGGCGGCCGGCCGCGGCCGGCCGCGCCGGAGATCCCCTTTGCCGTGCTCTCGCGCCCCGCGGTGGCGGCAGCGGTACCCAGCTCCGCCGATCACGCCAAGCGCTTCGCCATCGAAAAGGCCTTGCGCGATCAGGAAGAAACGCAGGCTTTGCGGCGGCGGCGGATGGAGGAGGCCAATGAGCATCCAAGCTTGGTGCGCCCACCAGAGCAGGAAAAAGACCGCGGCGCTTCTTTGTCCGTTAGCGGTATCCCGCCTTCCGCGGCCTTCACCCCGCCGGTGCTGCCCAAAATGGAGCGTCAAAGGCTTGTTGTGATTTCCGACCCGTGCGTGGAGCCACCCACGCGCAAGGAGCTGACGCCCGACAGCACCTCCAAAGAATTCTGCAATTTTTTGAAGGAGCGGGTCTCCATGGCGAGCTACGAGAATTTCAAAGCGGCGTTAAAGGAGATTGCACTGCTGCGCCGGATAAAGGAGGACCAAGGGCTTATTAGGGAAAAACTGAGTCGCACTGTTGACAAGCTATCGGCTATATTTTTTGAGGCCGATGCAAAGGGGTTGGCAGTTGTGGTGGAAGTATTCAGTCGGCTTATTCCCGAAGAGTTCCGCATACTTTATTCCGATCTTATGAATTCCAATACGAAACGAACCTAAATGATCTTGAAAAAAAAAAATAAGTGTCATTTAATTCCTTAACGGTACTCATTCAAATTGCCTACGTGATAATTTAGGCTTTTTTTTTTTAGTTGCAGCAATCCATAGACCCCTTTTCTGCATTTCTTAATTTACTAAGCTTAAACAGGGCATGTCCTTTACCACAATATCAAACTTGGCATTTCTTCATGATTTTTGATATCTTTTTTAAATTTCCAATATTTTATCATTGAAATGCTGTATTTTGTCTTATTATTGCTGTGTTTTTAGACATCAAAAAGGTGTGGATCAATAAAAATAAAAACCGAAAACATTGACGCACATTTTAAGGCCATCTATATTAAATCCTCCAAAAACAGACTCTATATGTTTTGTTTAATTGGGATTCATCTTGTGCATTCGTTATGAGCTCTCTTGACTTTCTAGACCAAACGTCCCTTAGGCTTAAAAGGTATGACGTCATACAACACCTTGACTCCAGTACAACTAGTGAAGTGTTTCTTGTGGCCAGCAAGAAGAGCAAGCGCTTGTATGTTCTCAAACAAATGCTCTTCTCCAACATGAGTGAAAAGGATTCAATGCGAGTTAAACGGGAAATTCTCGTCATGAAGTGGGTCGATCATCCAAATGTTGTGAAGTTCAAGGAGAGCTTTGCAGGGAGTAATTCAATTAGTATCGTAATGGAGTACTGCGAGTGCGGTACTTTGGAGGGGCTGATTGAGCAACAACGGTGCCGTAGAAGACCTTTCGCTGAGGACCTGCTCGTCGAATGGATGGCGGAGCTGCTTTGCGCCTTAGCCTATATCCACTCTAAAGGGATTCTGCATCGTGATATCAAAGCGAGTAATATCTTCGTGACGAGAAAAAATCACCTCAAATTGGGTGATTTTGGTGAGTCGACCCCCTTGACCAATGACGATGGAGGAAGTTGGGGGATGATCGGGACGCCGCTGAACTTTGCGCCTGAGGTTTGTGAAGGCGCCGCCTATAACGAGCGCAGTGATGTATGGAGTCTTGGTGTGGTGTTCTATGAAATGTGCGCTCTGCGGCCCCCTTTTGAAGCTTTCAACTTGTTTTCTCTTCTACAACAAATTCTTACAGCGGACGTGGAGCCATTCTGGATGGGACTTTCCCCCCATCTTGAGGAGATCGTGCGGGAGATGCTAAACAAGAACCCCGACCATAGGCCTACCGCACAGGGGCTAATAAATGAGCATCTGATGGTTCCCGCAAGCCACCCATCGCACCCTTTTCAAAATCCACAGATGGGCCGCCTCACACAGCAGCTTTACGGCCCGGGGCCGTCCTATGCGAAGCACCGGCCACACTCCCGTGAAAAGACGACCGGGGTGCCGATCCACCTTCGTGGCTCCTACGAATTGGCGGCATCGAGATACTGAGAAATACCGATAAAGCGCATTAGGCTACTATGAACCCCGCCCCAGAAGGTATTCCTCTACACCAGAGGAGAGGCCTTTACCCTTCTCTTTTTTTAAATCCTTGAACCTACAG